TATTCCTGCGGTTAACTCTGCCAAGCTACGAAGAGAGGAAGTATATCCGATAAAATAAAGAATCCAAACGGATTTAGATATTGTGGAATATTTATCTATCGGATGAAAATGTCTAAAATAAATGAAGTAAGGATACCGAATTATTTCTCAAAAACTCTTAACGTGAGTCTACCGCAACCTGCGTCACACCAAACAGAAGTCATGTATGTTTCAAACAACGAGAAGACGTTTACATCAACGCCCAGAAAACCACCCACCTCACACTTCACAATCGACCGCAGTGACGCGGTACTCTGAAAGACGCGGAACGATACTACTCCCGCATTGTCTCATCACATATTACTCTCTCACCATCTTTTTCTCCTCTATCTCCCAAAAGTATGCAATCTTTTCCTCTTCAGGATGTGATGTCTCATTGGCACTTACCGTTGAATTTGAATCCGGCATCCGCGGCATTTTCCGGCATGAGGTAAGGAGGGGTTACGTTTTTCGCCGTCCGATTGGTTCGTCACGACGATTTCGATTTCTTTCCGTTATGGGAAACTCCAAAGTGTTACATGCTAGATCTTTGAATTCCTCTCGGCATTGCAGTTTTTCCGGATGCTACGTTCAATAGTGGATATTGCTAGGGAGGAATGTCTAAAGCGAAGTCAATGTAAAGTCGAGAAATACCGTAATTCCATGCAGAGGTTTGGAGCTTCAGACAGTGACATCAACCGAGGTAGATTTTTTGACTTTTATGGCTTTTAATTAAAGATTTTAATTTCGAGTCGCATTTTGTTTTGTAAATTTCAGTTATGCTGTCCGTTATTTGCGTTTTTCCGATCAAATTGTTCAAATATATAATGTTATCTTCTTTCTATAGTTATCAGCAATTTCAACTTTCAATTTAAACCACTTACGTTCCTAATCATTTTTTGTTTTTTAAACTTTACGCAGCCTGTTGTTGCGTTTTCTTTCTTTTCTTTTTCTTTTTTTTTTTTTTGATTTGGATTATTCCGATTTCAGTCTCTGGTTTTTATTTTTGTCTTTCATACTTTAGTTATATCATATATGAAGTCAAGTATCCACCCTTTTTAATTTACTAGTTTTCAAACACTCCAGTCCGTAGTTCTTTTGAGTTTGAAATTTAAATAATTTAATTAAATAAAGGTAAGAAATTATGTAGTTTTAAACTGAATTTATAGTGGAGATTCAGAATGTTCCTCACAGATTTACTTTTAACATATACGCTTTGTAGTGATCTTAGCTCCTGGTTGATGAAAAATAGTATATTTAAGAAGCTGATTAATATTCAAAATGTTTTCCTCTTTGTTCCTTTATTGATCAGTAGAGCAACCTGAAGAGGAAGCCGAGCTTGGAAAAAACTGTAATTGCAGTGACTGGTAATTTGATTGAAAGGAACCAAGAACTGGCTGATTTATTACACGACATTGAGTCGCTAGAAGAAAGGTTGAAGGAATTGGAAGAAAAGGATTTGGAACAGAAATTACTCCACTTCAAGGTACCATTTTTAAATGAATTTCTTACTCTGTATAAAGAATATTACCCTTCTCCGTAAACTTTCACAAAACTAAAAGAAGAATTAAATTACCTGAATTTGTTTATTAGTGACCTCTCATTTTATATTCCATTCTTTATTTTTTGAAACATGCATTATTGCATGCTGATATATTGGATGAATCATGGTGATATTAGATTTGTTGTTACCGTCCCTTTTTTTTTAAATTTCATCTGTGTCGGTAAATGAATAATTTGAGAAGGTACTTTCGATTGCATGGTAGTCCCATATATAATTGGTGTAATGAAGCAATATTTTCTGATAAATTTTAAGAAGTTCTAGTGGAATCATGCTTCGAGCTTTTGAAATGCCTTCTATCTTTTAGGAATTAGATGGTGTCCTCGAAGAAAGCAATTCAAAAGAAAATATTTCATCTGGATGTGATTTGGATGGTACTTTAAAATCAGAGCCGATATCATGGGACGGTAATCAAATGCAGTCCAATCGACGAAGATACAGTCTCCTTGTTTCGCAATTAAAAGTCTGTTTTGTTATTCATTGCAAGAAAATGGATGTTTCTAGACCGTACGTCTCGTTTGAACTGTACAGTTTTTGGCAGTTTTTAGAGTTTTTGGAAAGTAATCGTCAGCAGAATCTTAATTCATTTTTCATTCTGTATTTTCTCTCTAATATTTTCTTTTTCTTGGCACACATAATTAAATTTGCCACATTCTCGTCAAACACAGTGTTCTTGGATTACGCAGACTATTTTTCCACTGATATTTCAGAAGTCTTTACGATTAGTTGAAACTAGTGAATTCATTCTGATCCCATCGAAAACGCGTGGTCGAATAGGTCGTCTTGAACTAAACCAGGTAAAATATTTGGTAGAATATATCATTACATTTTCAAGAGCTAGGTCTTTATATATTATTTTGCTTTGTTTTCCAAAACATGAATGCATCCTGAATCTTCTGGAAGTAAGACTGGATACTGTAGGATTTTTTTATCCTCTCCTTCATTATCACGGTGTGCTGCTTCAATTTAAGATTAATTAAATCCTATTTCAGTTGCTAAAAAAAATTGATGAAGTTTTTTCGGACAAATATGTTTGTCAAAAACGGCCTCCTCTTGCAGTGAAAAATGCCAAAAAGCAGGTGATACTTCAAATGTGTTAGAATTTTTTTAAGCTTTTAGATTCATATCTAACATTTAACAGTGCTTGATTAGTTACCCAACTGTATCAGGTTTTCATAACTAAAACTTATTTCGAAGTCAAAATCTGAGTGGTGTCGGAAATGATGCAGTAATGTTCAGACATAGTTTAGCTGGTCCAGAATGCTTGCATAGTTCAAATTAGCTGATTGCTATGTGATTTATTTTCTTCATCGAATTAAGGAGTGTGAGAAACTGAGAGGACGGTGGTATGTTGCACTGAATGAGCTCCTTGTTCGTTTCACATCAAAAGAAAAAATTTCCTGGAGATTTGCGCTACCTTGTTTAATATATCTGAAACGACTGGAAGAATTACGAATTGATGATAATAATCTCTTCATTGCAGCCGTTCTGTCGTGATTGTATCATTCTTCAATCTTATATTAGGAAGGTTGAATATGTCATCTTCGCTAATGTATCATCTAAAGTTTTTATCTGCCAGCAACTCTTACAGCTTTCAGCTATTTACTCTCCTTGTTGACTGCATAGCTGAGTCATTTCTTTCTAGTACCAGCATTAAATGACGTCCAGGATTCTTATGACTTCAAAAGAAACAAAGATAAATAAAGCCCAGAAAAATTGTTAGTGCGTTAATTTGTTAGTAATATAACAATTTGACATTAGCGATTTGAAAACGATATTTCGATTGAAGCTCAATTCTTTATTTTTCTTACTAGTAGCTTAGTTTTCTGCCTTTGATTAGACTATGGATTGAGGGTTTTTTAGCCACAAGTACAGTAAATTTTTTACTTCTAGACACATTAATCGCCTTGCTGATAAATGTTCGACATGGCGGATTGCGACTGAAAGGCAGAAAATAATACAGGTGCAAACCTTCAGAAAGATACGGATGTCTAGAAATTGATAGTGAATCATAATTGAAAATAATATCCAGACATCTGAATCGAATTGTTGATAGGTAGCTAAAATTGCGAGACATTCTGAATATCTATTGGAGCTGAGCGATATGTTATTTTTGCAAAGCTCTCTTTATGTTGCATCATATGTTGATATTGTCTTTGATATATGTATTGTCATTGTACATTAAGATAACGAAATTTTCATATTGTTTGAAAAATGAATGATTTATGTATCAATCTTGAATTTGTTAATTTATAGCTTCATTGTCATTAGTCCTACACGTATATTTGGAACAAACGGTTTGAATTATTGGTGATCTAACCAACTACTGATATCTCATTCGAAGCGCTGTGGATTATAAACACATTTAAGAAGGCCGTTACTTTAGGAACCCATTTCAGTCTTAACATTTATTTGCAGTGCATATGCATAAGATCCTTACTTTTTCACTTCAGATTTGCTATTTTTTTTGGTGGGAATTGATGGGTCGCATTTGTAGCGTTAATGAGTATTAGTCGAACAATGCAGGCACAGCGACATTCTGGTTCGATTTAAAGCTGATTTCGAATTTTCCTTTATTCTTCAGGTTGATTATGCTAAAAATTGTAAAATTAAATCGAAAAAAAATTTTAGTTCGTTTGCATGCAGCTGAATCAACCCGTGTGCTAGATGAGATAACACGGAAACGACGTTTAAGAAAACAATTAGAAGCCCTCGAACAGGTTTTTTTTTCGACGATGGCAGTACTTTCAATTTGCACTTCCTCAACATTGCTTTTAAAATAAATATTTAGATAATGACTAATTACCTCGTCTTTCTATACAAATTTTCTTTTGAAGTGCTTTTGAAGCTTAGTTCCAAGCTGTCACAGAGTTTTTGAAAAAAGTTACAATTAAGTACCATCTAAGATGAATATTCATATTTTGTTTTGCACTAATTAGTGTTTTGGGTTAGCGTATTGTTTTATAATGAACTGTTAACTTTTTATTAAGAGTGATAATATGGCTTCCCAATTATAGCACTGGTGAATAAAAATTTTAAAGGTATAGAATTCATAAGATGGTCAGTCAAGCTGATGTGGGATGGTCATACTGTTGCACCTCGTGACTTGATAGCTATCATTTCCGTTTCAAAAAAATTTGTCGCAATTTGCTTACCTCTTTATACTTCCTACGTAACTTTTTCGATCAACTATTTTGTTCATTCACGAAAAGAAAGATCGTATTGTTTATTTCGTCGATAGCTCTTAATTTTGCAGACTAAACACTAACATTGAATTCAATGTTTGATGTAGTTGAATTTTTATAGGACAATTTTCATGAAGATCCTCACGCACAATTGCAGTGGCATAAAAATATTCCCAAATTCGAAGATGACCAACTGGGACAGTCATCAGCCCGTAAAGGAGATACTGAACCAGGTAATTTCTTTCGTTTTATAATATATAACTTAATGAACCGTGACGTCACTTTTTATTGTAACTTTATATCATTTTTGTGTCATGAGTACACACAAGCGTATGGACTAATAAAATTATAATTTTCCATTTCATATTTTTACCACAAATTTGAATTACGTTCAGTAGCCATTTCTTGACAGTTTTTTCATTAGATTGCATTTTATAGTTATTTCGACATAGAGAAGAATACCTGTTCACAAATTTTCTAGTCGTCGATTTGCAGTTGCGATTTGTGTAAAGATTTGAACTTTGCTTGTAGGAAAGAAAAAGAAGAAATTCAAAGTGGAGTATTTTAAGCAGAGATTTCGGAAAAATTTCTCAGCTTTAGTTGAAGAGGAAACGGTATGAGTATCTTCTCCGAATGTAAATTGTTACTAAAAACTTCAACTTTTTTCGTGTCAAATTGTCACAGTTATTTTTATTATTTATTGCGGAATCACCACTTATTTCATTTATTCATGTTTATACAAACTTAGTTTTTCTGCTGCTAATAATGAAAGAAAAGGATACAGTAAAGGTTGTACTTCGTAATGCTTTATAATTGTAAATGTGAAAATCGAATTGTTGCTAAAATTTGGTGTTTCCATATTCGACTTTAATGTGATTTATTATTTTAAGCTGTCGAAATCTATGGAAATTTCGGGTTTTGATGCATATAATGCTGCACGGGCACCACCAAGTAGCATACCGCCACGGCAGTTTTGCTCAGCTTGCGGTTTCTTCTCCAAATATACTTGCATGAGATGTGGTGCGCGATACTGCTCAATAAGTTGCAGAGATCTGCATAATGATACTAGGTAACGGTTAAATTAATGCCTAGCTAACTTCAAGCATTTAAAGGAAATTTTAAGTAAACAATCCTTTAAACAAAGATTCGAGAAAGTCTAGAGACAAATTAAGATAAATCATTCTGGACCTAAATGAATTTGTGGTATTTCGCAGAAATTATTCTTTTTTGACCACTGTCATATTTACTAATCCAGCCTTTTTTCTTGCACACCTGGAATTTGACTACTTTTTTTCTTTACATAAATACCGTGAAATCTGATGCGCTGTAATCAATCAACCTTAAGGGCATGAGAAAATTTCCTTTTCCAAAATTTTCCCCGATCCTTCTTTTTGTTGACGTTTGAGATCATGCATTCGAGATCAGTGCTGCATAGTTTTCTACTGATAAAGAGGAGAGGGCAGATTTTTTTTCTTCGTTCTCGACGTTTTGAGGTCATGTATGCAATTTCTTCTATCATTTATCAAATGGCTGTGTTTTCAACTATATTATCTAGAAATGTGAAATTTTGATATTGTGCAATGAGGATTCCTCAGAATGTTACAGTTTTCTACTAATGAAAAGGATAAGTGCAGATTTTTTTCTTTTCTTTCCCTAATATTTTTCACTAATATGCGTACAGCAAGACTTTCAGAAAATTTTTTTCATCGTTTTCCATGATTTGCAGAGAAAGCTAAGGTCATTATTATGAAATAAAGTTTTTTAAGTTCCGATGACTTGTCGAGTTCGATGGACTGTTAAATGTAAATTTCCTGAATGTATAAAGTTGCGGAAAGAGAACTATGACTTATGGATATTTCTGTTCGCATATAATCAGTGAAAGAAAGAAAATCTCTTGTGATTGCGCTAGTTCAAGACTGTTATCATTTTGACGAATCCGAGATAATATTACACAGCAACAAAGATTCATATAATCAGATTATCCCGATAACAGCTTAGCCATTTGTTAGTGGTCGTTGAATGCGTCGCAGATGACGGAAAAAGAATAAACTTGAAGAACTTTCAACTTTCCCGAGGAACGAATGATATTTATTTCCCACATGTCCTTAGAAAAGTTCGACTTAGCATAATACAGTACATCAGATATCTTAATTTGAGGTGACACAGGGCTTAGTGATGCAAGAACTATGTTTGCAGGTCATACATGGATTAAAAGTGCTTAGGATTTGTGCCACAAACTCGTGAGAGCTTCAGATCAACCCATAAAGCCATAGAATCGTAATTACAAATTTTTATGGAGTGTTTAGCGTCATTTCATCGGTGCCAGTCCATGTAAAGCTTGGGACAAATATATGGGATCTTTGTTTATTTTTCGAGAAGACATTTGCCGCTCAGCGTCTCTAAAATCTGCGCCATTAGAACTTAGTATATTATGGATAGTTAATCTGTTTTGAAATGTTGTCCTAATTAAGAAGAAATACCTTATGCTTATTGCTAGAAATGTTTATTCCAACAAAATGTTATAGGTCAACGGTTACGCTATTGTTAGCACGTTGACTTTGAATCCACAGATTTCTATTAATGCGATTGTAATTTAGGTGTTTGAAATGGACAGTGTGAGCAAGAATCTGAATGGAGCGGAATGATTTCACGAACGGAAATCCTGAAAAACTTGCTCTCCATAAATACAAATTTTCACACCAACTCCTTTCGGAGAAATTGTTTAATATTCAAAATTCTTTACTTTTGTATATGGCTGTTGTTACTATGTATTTTTTTATTTTAAAATAGGCATAAATAGGTAAAGAAAAATGCATTATCGATGAAGAAAACGGACGACGCTTCCAATCAATCACCCAGCCATTTTCTATATTGCGCATAAGAGAGGTGAGGGTGGGAAAACGGGTGGCATCGTTGTAATGGACGAGGAGTGGTCGTCACCTTTATGATCTCTAGGTTGGCCTCTTTTCTTCTCTCTGCTGTCGAAGATCTACGCTTGCTAGTCATTCATTTGATCTTGCCTCGGATTGGTTTCCGGATACATCTGACGATGTTTGTAAGTACTTGTGTAGAGAAGGTAATGGTGAAGCGTTGTCACCATGTGTTGCTGCTCCCATTTTTGTCTATTTCTAGAAGTGTTGTAATCCTTTTTTCTTTCATTTCTTATCGCGCATTCTCAATCTGATGATCTATTGTAATGTATTCGTAAATGATGCTACTTTCCTTATTCACTTGTCACATGAAAGAATTAAGTCCTGAGATATTCAAATTCTAACGATTATTTTGATACTGTATCGTCTAGCAAATACTGTAATGATGGCAACTGCCAACAAAAGCAGTCAGTCATATTCTTTAACAGAGAAGATAATCTAACGGCAACGTCCGTTGTCAGTTAAGCTACTCGGAATTATCTGACAGATGAAAGAGAAGAGAAGAGAAGGGAAAGGGAAGTCTAAAAGTTGTCCATATAGATAATAAATATATTTGTTACAGTATCAGAATTATTTGAATATTCGAAGTGAAATAACAATTGTTACCATAGCTAAATATCTCTGTTTTGTGAACGATTCATGATGTTAATCTTTAAAATCATTTATTACAATAGAACGCAGTATTTACTATTTTATTGTTCATTATGACATTTTATGTTTCAAAGCTCTTTTTCTTTTTCTATCAAGTCCTGGTTGGAAGTTACTTTCAAGACAAATACGCGTTAACGTTGGTTCGTAGTTTGATCACTGTCTCCAAACAGCGTTGAGCAGCCTCTTAGCTAATTAATCTTTTCGGTAATGACTTCATACACTCTTTTTCTACCAGTCTATCAAATGTGCTGCTGCGATTACTTATCTTGTTATCTTCCAGTATTCATTTAAATAAAACATTTACGGATTCTTTTAAAAGGCAAGCTTGTTTAAATTGTCAGCGTGTTTTTGTGAAGGTTTGACGTAGAAGATGCAATAATGGTTGGAATGATATGTATGTGTATGGGAATGACTCATACACAGGTTTTCGGAAGGCTTATAAATTCTATCTGAATTAGTTTTAGATAGAGATGATTAATTGAGTAATAATCGACGAGAAGTTGGATTCATACAGTTTTTTTGTTTTTTTCATTTATTTGACAGAATTAACGTATGTCCTGTAAGACGCATATTCCCCAATGTCACTTTAATTATGATGTCAAGATTACACATGGGAAGTTTGGTTAATTGGAATTTCATGAGATAACAACTCTTCATCTATTGTCACTGAATGAAAGACTTGGCCAGAAATTATTGGTCATTTTTATTGGTCATCCAAAAATAAATTTTGATTGGCGAACTGATCTGTCGCTTGTATTGGAGCAGGATTCACAGATGATTTGTTGCTATGAATTGAAGATATGATAGCCGAAATGACCTTCGAGGAAGGTAATACATAAGGGACAACCGCCGTGACACTGAGAAAAAGACACTTTCGTATCATTTTGAGCAACTGGCGTCACCGTTTGCCTGAGTGATGCTATAGATGGTGTCTAACAGCTATACTGGAACAGGTCATGGTTATGATGATGACCCGATTATCGTTTGTCATATTTCTACTATATATCTTTTTTTTTCTCCCTGATCATTTGTAATAATTCATTGGTGAATTTGTCCTTTTCAAACTTCTTCCTTATTTTCCAACATATTCCTGAAATTATGATCAACCATTGATATATAGTTGACATCTTTTCGGAAATTACTTATACATAACTATACTTGAAAGATAGGTGACATTTTACTTAGTTTACATTACAACTTGTTTGACGTTATTTCAGTTAATGCAAACTTTTCTTTTTTACCTTACTGTTTTTCTCATAAAACTTGTCTCTTGTTTTAATAACAAACGTTTGATGAAAAATGAAATTTTCAACTTTCAATGTTTTTATTTCCTTTTCCTCAATATTCGATAATAATTTCATCCTATTATACATTTTTTTTATCGAATTAAATTCATGTTCTTTGAAAAGTTTCCCGTACTTGCACTTTTGATGAAATTAAACGAAAAGCAAGGGACAAATGAACTGATTGTCTTTGGATGTGTCGCAGGATGAAAATATCCAAACCCATCCTACACAATTATAACAGCTGTTGGGGACAATTTTTTTTTAACAATGCATTATTGTCAACTTTGATGATATCAATAAACTGTAGTTAAATTCTTTAAGTATAATTTATATCACAGTTTTGCCGCTTCATTGCTTTTTTCTCAGTTGTGTCCGAGTAAGGTAAGCATTTCGTATTGTTAAAAAGGAATTTCATTACGAATGGAGTAACTGGATCTAATTAGTTGTCAATTAATTCTAAGATCACTTTATGAAAATTTTTTTAGTCTACTTATTTATCATTTTCCTCTTTCATTGTAATTTTAGACTTTAAGAATTGAAGAATAGCCAAGATCAAATGGAACATCTGTCTGGTCTAGTTTTTTCCTCATCGAAAGTTTTTCATTCCTACACGTTTTCCGTCAACAAAGTTTTCCTTAACAGACAAAGTTTCATATTTTATCACCATATGTCCATCTCATATATTATGTAATCAAGCGCAACTCACGTAACTCAACACTTACGTAGTACAGTGCTCCGTTCAACTGTAATGTAATTTGATTCTTACACATAAAATTATTCTTAGAATATGATGGAGATTTTTTAGTGCTTAATGCTGTTATAATAAGTAACTTTGCTTACCATGTTATTGTTTATGCATACTTTGTAGTAGCAATGGTAGTAGTAGTAGTAGTGTAACAGTGGCTGAAGTAGCATTATTAAACATTGACATTCCCTATCTCGTCCACTGATGATCATTGTAGGAATTTAGAGAGATGGAAGAGTTATTGCCCACCTCTAAATGCCTTCTGTCCACTTCATATAACACATCTAAACTGGTCCTCTGGTCTTCTTCCTCTATTCCGATATATTCCACTTTCATCTTCATGCAAGTTATTCCATTCCTCTGTGATACATACCCATTATTTTTTCAATTTCATTTAGTAATATTACTTCCATTTCCCACAATGCTATAGTGAATTATGATTTAAATATATCTTTTCGTTGCAAACTATAATTAATAAAATGACCAAATATTTGATTGATGGAATCGATGAGATCAATGTATTTATTTGTTGAAAGAAATGATTCAATTAAAGGGATAAGGATTACTTTCTATAGATATAACATTGTAAATTATTCCTCTAATTTGATTTATTCTATATTCACAGTGGCAATATCAATTTTCGAAAATATTGAAAAAATGGGACAAACTGATCTTTACTTAAGTTGTACATAAAATATGTATGATAGATAGATTGTGTGACATTTTGCGACATTCAAATGATATTCTCATTATTCAAAATAATTTTGAAGTACTTCCTTTTTTTTTTTTACCACTTGACTAAAATGGTAATTGGAATTTTTTTATGATTTTCAAGACATTATTTTTTGCAATGTTTCATTTCAGTAATCAATATCATCCACATTTAATGGATCAAATTTGATGCGTATTGCTTTCACTTATTGATTAAAAAACAGAATTTCATTTTATTGAAATACATAAATTAAAAAAATTAAGGAAAGAGAAAGGGAAAGAGAGAGAGAGGGAGAGAATCATTGATGAATAAAAACATAACGACAATCTAAGTTACAATTTGTGAAAGTTCGATTTTCTTTTTTTACTCTCGGATTTCGATCACAATTTTTTCTTTTCACACATATGAAGTGTGAGAAGTAAAATTATTATTGCTTCAGGAATAAGAAAATTCAGATTTTCTTTTCATTCCTGAAATGAATTCGAAAAGTAAACACATTTGTAATTTCTTCCCAAGTAACTTTTTCAACAATAACATTTCCCTTTTTCTCCTAATTTAAATCAACAATAAAATGGACTTGTTCATTTTTGACCGGTTTCTTCTTTTCCTACTTCCTTCCTTTTTCTTATCTTTTCTATCTTGCAAACTTTAACTTCTCACTCCTGCACTTTACTATTTTATGTCTTTCTATTTATTACATAAATTATAAATTTCACTTTATCAACTCATCGTCCCATTTTTTCCTCTCATTTGGTTTCTAACATGAAGTGTAAAAATATGCGCATTTGTCCATCTGATGAAACGGCAACGTATCACTTTGAGTTTCGAAAATACGTGTCACTGTCAAAATTTCAATAGATACGTATCATTGCCAGAATCTTGCAGATATATGTCGCTGTCAAAGTCTCAAAGACGAGAACTCACACCTACTTTCATTCTTTTCTTTCATTTTTTTGAGGATATCCTCAGAAAGTTAAGCATAAAAAGGAATTAACTGTTTCGTATGGAATTCTTTGTGAGCCAAAAAAACTGGCACATTTTAAAATAAGCCAAGAAACATTGTCTTGGTTGTTTTTGTTTTTACCAAACAAGATAGTTATAAAAAAAAGAAAATTGGAAAAGCTTAAGGCATATTTGTAACCTTTGACCCCAAATATTCTGCTTAGATTTGTATTATAGTTTAAACATAGTTTGTATCTTACAGGAAATTTAATATGCTAAAGCTACCAAAAGTTGCTACAAGAAATAATATCTAACGATTATAAAATTATCATGGTGTTAATGCTTTTGCCGAAGGAGATAGTTATAAAGAAGATTGGGAAAGCTTAAGCATATTCGCAACCTTTGACCCTACCTAAATTAAATGTGTAAACTTAGCAGATTGTTTTAATGTTATTCAAAATTATTAATAACAGTGTGTTCTTTGATTAGGCGAAAAAAAATAGCCAAAGTATGGCTTTTACGAGAAACTCATTTATATCATGTATTTATGATAAAATGATATTTAATTTATCGTTTTCATTCAGGCCTGTCTCGGTCTTTTAATATAAAATGAACTGGTCATTTAGTAACCATTATGGTGAGAATTAATGGTCAACTAATACGAAAGAAATGAACAAGTGAACTAAACAAACATATTGAATCTCTTAAAATTAAATTCGATTTGCGGATAATGTTTCAGTTCAGTTCCTTTTCCATGTCATCATTCTTGACCACTATCGCAAGTGCCAGCAATGGCAGTAATAAAGTAAGCGATAAAGCAACAACCAGTACAAAACAATTTTTAACATTTCCATTTCGCCGGCGACGAAAACATTATACAATAAATCCACCGGATGACACTTATCACGTTGTTTACCTTGGTAATGTATTGACCATCATCGCTAAAGGTATGTATTTTTGTCATCTATTTCTTTTTTTTTCGATCCAATTACATTTCCGCACCACTAGTTAATTGCCAGTAATTGCATTCGATGAATACCTACATGCATAACATTGCGCAGATTGCATGTACATGCATGCATTCGTTTGCCTCATTAATGCACTCATTTTGAACAACATTTTTTCTTAAATTTCCATTTAAAAGAAGAAAAAAAGACGTCTACATAAACAGGATGAAATTTAATGGTACTTCATTTATTTTCATAGAAATAGTGATTATAAAGTATTTTATTTCTTCCGAAAATATGGGTAAATACCATTGCTTTAAGAGAGTGATTCTCAATCGATAATCCGCGGATCATAGATGATCTGCGAGAACTGAAGTATAGTTCATGAGAGTGGTGGCGTGATAAGTAGAAAAACAGGCGAGGGCTATTCTTATCAATGTTTAGTAAACTAATACAAAAAAAAAACAAATTTTGATTAAAGTTTATTTCCAAATGAACAGAATTTATTATTTTTGAACCTTGTGGTCCCTGCTGTTACAAATGAAAAAACCGAAGTGATCACTGGTCAAGAAAAGATTAGGAGCCACTACCTTACAGTAGTATTTCGGAATACTCAAACTCTCTCTTGTTTGATTCTAGTCAATTATACGAAGTAATAGAAAACGAAAGTTTCAGGCGAGGAATGTTTGGCGAAGCCTCTTTCGTTAATTTGGCGTACGTATTGCAATAGGCAGCGTGCGGAGCTACCTATGAAACTCACTGTTACACGTTCCGGACTTAAGGTTAGTTAGATCCAAAAATTATGATAGCATGGAATCAAACATGGTGTAAGGAAAGCTGATTTGTGGAACCGTTTTTTCTGTTTTTTTCCAAGCTTCCCGGTGTAGAATAAGTTTATTTCAAATTAATTGGTACAACGAATTGATTTCTCATAACATAATCACAAGTGAAAGAAAGTTAAGGAAAAAACACTATTTTTGTTTTCGTTTATAATTTGACTTTAGCTCATTTATATGGATTCAGTTAACATCTAGAAACAAACATTTCAACTTTTAAACTGGGAATAATAATGAGCAAAATGACAGTATTTGTTCTTCTAATTAGTCGTTTAGGAAGTTTCATTGCTTAGTGATTAGAGCTAAATATAGAATGAAATGAGAGTGGTTGATGAATTTTGGTGACAGCTGAAGAAAGATAAGTTTGCCGCATCTTAGATGCAAATTAAAACATAGCTTCATGAGCGATCCCAAGGAATTTCTCCTTAGAAATTTTAAAATAAGATCATTTTATAGGCAGAAACAAAGCAACAAGGTATCACAGAGTATTGGTCACATCGGTTGACATATTGTTCGGCTCCGTCAAATTTGCCGCGAGTATTTTGTTGGGTTTATAAGCACGAAGGGAAAAAGATGAAACCAGAACTGAGGTATTATAATAGCTGCAAGTCTTTTTCCACAATTTTAAAAAACAAATCATCTGAAATAAATTTCTTGTTGAAGAATAAGAATGATTTGATAATTTTTTTTTTCTCCGATAACTTTCGGTTTCTTCAAATTCCGCTCTTATTTACTGCTATGAAATGAAACAGTATATTAAGGATGATAACATAATAGTAAGTTATAGAATGAGAACGATTAGTAAATTATAGATGACAACGAATTTTTCGAAATATTCGACACTTATTTCTATTTATTATTTTTACATGTTCGATACTTATTTCTTTGATCAAGTTATGTGTAGCAGCTTAGATTAAATTTATTCAAAGCTATATATCTTTAACTTATAAATTTCAGATGTCATGCAGCACTATGCAAAAAGCGATCAGATCCGTATAGAATAGCTGATACACTTGAACATTATCTTCGAGCTGCCCTTCAGGTAATGTTTAATGTTACACTTTTCGACTGAATTAAAATTATAAAAGTGTTTCATGTCATCTACCACTCCATTTGATCCCTTCTCTAATCCCTTGATCAGTTGTCATTCTCCAAAACAAACTGTTGCTATCGATATCGAAATTACTACAATGATGTTTACAATACTACTATTTCTACCTGAGCTTCAATATCTGAAATCTCCTGGATCTATTCCAACTGCATGAAGCCATAGTGTGACCAACTTTAATCATTGTTAAATGAAATATAGCGAATATTAAACCTAAAGATGCAAAAAACCAAAAATTTGATTTCCCATTACAAATATATTAGCGATTAATTGTTTTAATATCATTCTAAAAAGACATATACGCTGAGAATCTCTTGATTATGATGGTATGTTTGCCACATGCCATTTCATCCATACAATCACTAGATATTTTTTCTCAGATTAGAAAATTAGGATTTGAATTATTTCGTTTTCATCATTAACTTAAATAATGATTGTAGTAGTTGGATTGAGTTTCAGGAATATCGGCGCGAGAAATTGTGTCGTCAAAATGCTCGAATCAATGCTTTGACTATTGGACAACCACCTATTGGACCTAAAAGGTATCTTATCATTGACATTGATGTTAAGTACCAATAATTTGCAGTGATATATGGCCTTCTTCCCATTCAGATTGATTTTTAATTTAGAAAACTCTTGCTGCAAACAGGTTCACTCAATTTTCGTCCTCCAGTTAGTCTTTCAAAAAGTGCTCCAAGACTGTTTGCTATCGATGAGGAAAATGAATATCCTGAGGAACAACAGGTTTTTGATTTTATCCTGAAATCCGTCCCTTTTCATATATCTGGATTTTTTACATCCTAAATTCCTGAATTCCTAAATACAACTACAAGTTGGTTCAAGACAAAATTTCCAGACGTCTTTGAAATCATTAATATATTTTCAGACTAATTTTTTTTCCCCTTTAATATACGATTCATTCTTATTTTTTAATTGTTACCAACACCGGTTTCTGGAAATGTTTTAAATTTCAGGACGAATATTCGGACACAGATTCATTATGTTATGGGGAATCAGCGGTCAGTGGTGATGTTTGTAGTATGAATAGTTTGGAAAGTAATGAAACAGCGGAAATTTCGCTCTCTCGACAGAATTCTTTCCAGGGTTCATTTCCATTTTACTTTCAAAGGACGAGAGGGCAGGACAGTTTGCTACAAATGAAATTTGAAAGGGAAAAAAAGTTAAGAAATTGACTTGATATGTGTTGTTACTGCTTCCTTGCAATGATGCTTTTTTGGTGCAGTCGAAAGTTTCAAAGTTATTTCGGATACCATACCAAAATTTAACACTGTACAGAAGTGGTAACCGGACCAACTCTACTGGTTTCGGAAGTTCATTTTACTTTCAATCTTTAGAACAACACTCAAAGCAATTAAACTATTCACATTTTCTAGGCGGTGGTGATAGCAAACAGCACCTAATGAGGAGACTATATGATAAGAGGCTAAAGCAAGAAGAACAGCGGAATGGATCAGTGGCTAGTGATATTAGCTCAAACTTGGAATCTGGTCCACCATCCAGTGTTAGTTCAGATGATGGGATGCAATCCAGTGATTCAGAAAATCGAACATGGGAAAGACGAAGATTACCGAGCGCAGAAAAATCATCGGAACGAGAAACAGACACAATAAGCGAAGAATCTGGTTATCATGATTTTGATTATGGCTTTAACAGTAGCACTGCTGAAGATGATAACTGTGATCGGAATAACGAAATTCGTTACGATGATGATGAAAGTCAGTACGATGAACAAGTTACTGCACTTTAAAATATTCGCTTAATTGTAGGAATAATTGGTCACAATTTCGAAACAATTAATATCTGTTAATTTGTTTGATTTCTGGTGCTACATTTAACGGACATCTTGAAGAGTCGTGAGACAGGATTATAAAAGGGCTGATTCTAATGAATAAATAGTGAAGGCAATGAAAATTGATGATATCAGGTTCTGATGCCAAGCAATTATCAGTAATAGATGCCCCACCGTAATTCTATTTGATTTATCTATTAATTATGTCGTAGATGGTGAACGTTCGAGAGCAGTGGTGACAAATATGATGCACATTTGCACATCCAATCTCCTGTGACTCATTATTTTGTCCTGTTCCGGTTTATCCCAGTTTTGTCGATTAGACGAAAAAAAAAAATTTATTTGCTCTTTTTGAAATTATGCGGATCTTGAATAGTTATAGGTCGCTCCATTTAATGTTTAGTTTCTGTGGTACTTGGATTTTAGACTATATCAGTTGTTCGATATGTTTTCTTAACTTTGAGGCCATCTTATCTTTGTCACCACAAACTGGTTACATCCTAGCGAATTTATTCAAATTTACAAAGCTATTCTTTTCTCTCCTGCTCAAAGGGATGTTGTTAAATGATAAGTTAGGATAGTATAGTCAGAATAATTGGCTATTAAATATATCGTTCTCAATGAAATACCTTTTGATCCTTGTATTATAACAAAATTACTGCCCTCATACTTTTGAATTCGAAGTTTCCGATCGAAATGTAAGTATTTATTAGGAACTTTTTCTTTTTTTTTTTTGAAAAGAAACAATGGTGCATTGCTTTGTTGTACTACTGTTTATTGATAAACTAGTATTTTCATCCAGGTGTAGAAGTTGATGCACACTTTGAATACTTCTACCCTTAGTAAGGAAGGATTGTCTCTCTCACCTGATGTAATAGCAGATAAATAAGATACAGCACAATGAGTTAGCAAATAGTCCTAGCAAAGTAAACAGAGTCGTTTAATTGATGACACGAATAAAATAATTTTAAGGTAACGAATGTGAATCCTCGATAAACATTTGGATTTTTTTCTTCCGCAATTCGAATCTGAATTAAAGTTTAAGAACTTTGCAGCCGTTTAAAAAATAAAGTAATTTGAATCTGAATCCTTCAGGAACATTTACATTTTGTGCTTCTGATAGCTTGGTTTACGATGTAGTTCGGTGTACTACAAAGTTTATTGAATTGAAACTTAAGGAATTCGAAAGTTTTTAAAAAATTTCTGAAAAAAAAAGTACTCACTGCATCATTTCATGGTACAATAAATGAGTTCTTTTTGGACAATTTAATTTATGCCAACAACAAGCAATTTATAAATTAACTTTATCACATGCAATCAACATTGATCATATATATAGTTGACAAAATTTAATTATAATGAATAGAAGTCATAATAGGTGTCATATACAGAGCACTCGAGGAAAATACATAACAATCATGAATAAAATTATAATTATCACCAGTAGTATTATCATTGTGATAATTACTATTCACCGTCACTTTACATCATTCATTTCTACTGCCATTATTATCATTACGATTGCCACCGTTGTCATGATTACAATAATCACGGGAATCACTATCATCATTATCAATCAAACATTCAACTAAACTATATGAGCAAAATAAATATGTTTCGTAAGTTTTACTTAAAAAAATGGGAAGACAATAGGAGAGAATGGAAATGAGGTTAGTTGGAAAATTGCTAATTAGCCAAGTAAAAGTACAATTTTACTGTTAAATTTCGACAAAACAATTTCGATGGAAATTTCTTAGCTAAGCAAGAAATTCTTCATATAACCTAATTTAACTATGAAGATTTGAAAGGGATTTTGAATGGGAAAATGTTCAAATTTTTCTTAAAAGATATACAGAGAAACGAATACAATGTGACAATTGTTAGTTAGAGAACAAAAAAAAAAAAAGAAAAATTCAACTGCACTCGTACGGAACTGATAAATGAACCAAATATGGTCTTAGCTTATCACCGAGTTAATCATTTACATTTAACTCTTCAAATAAGCTAAAGAAAGAAGAAGCATAGCACAAGCTCTCTAATATAGACTCCATTCTCAGGAATCTCAAGCTGCACTTCATCTTTGCAATAATGCAAGTTTTGCAGCAGCAGCAGCAGCAGCAACAGCAGTAGCAGTAGCAGTAGCAACAATAACAACATAACAAGCATGATTTGTATTTGTTATCATTCACCTGTTGATTAATTTTCCCTCATAAATTATCGAGGATTTTTTGTTTCAAAGTCGAAAAAAGATGAACATTGCATTGGAAAATTCTCGATTAGGTAAATAATACCGGTGCTAAAATCTTGAAAATTTACTTGTCGTTTTTCTGGAAGATATGCAAGCAAAGTTGTCGTCCATTAAATTCTTCAACTGTTGTAACTAATAAGCGGGATTAAATGGAATGATATGGCAAATGGTACGTGAATTGCTCTCCAGTAAGGATGTATCTCGCATGTCAATACATGCTATTATCAGTAATACATCCCATGTGTGAACATTGAGGAAACTTTGTGAAAGTTAAATTGTAAACTTATAGTGATATTTCCCTTATCTAAGTTAACTTTTCGATATTTTCCACACCAAAGAAGTTAATTATTTGACATTTCTCTTAACGAAGTTAACTTTTTCAGAAATAATTCAAATCTAGAATTCCTTAATTCTTCTTTTAATCCTCCTATTGAGCAATATAAATTCGTCAGTTCATCTCAAGCATTCCAAATCAATCTTATAAAATAAGCAAAAATAAAAGCGCACTCTTTCATCAATTTTAATTCACATCATTCGATAAATGCTAACATTTTATTTCATTAAAAATACACGAAAACATTAAAATGGTAAATTAGAATTTTACCAAAAATGTTTTCAAATAATTAAAAATGCAAAAGAAGAAAAAAAGAAAATGAATTCGTCATCCTGTTAAGGAATCATTAATAAAATGGCAGTAAGATGTTAAAAAAGAAAAAAAGAGGAAAAAAAAGTGGTAATTAAATCGTGACAACGATGGGATTTCACAAATGACAAATAACATAAGAAGGAAAGGATCGCTTAAAAGGAAATAGAGAATTAAAATCGCTCGATCGTTTAGATGGAACTAAAACTTGCAAACCTTTCATTGCTCTGTTGATACAGGCTAACCTGCCAGATGTGATATACAGATGTGATATATATATATGTAGTTAAGCTGATCATTGGATAGCAAAATTCTGGATCTAACAGCATCGAAGCGAACTACTGACAAGTTTTGATGATGAGATTAAAATCTCATTTTTCCGAACCAATCGTTCGTATTTTAATTTTGCTCTTTTTTTTCTTTTTTAATGTTTACTTCATATGTATGGTTTAGCAACAGCTGCTGATGAACGATTATCATTCAATTGAAGATACTGGTCGAAATCACGTGGATTCAAATCTTGCGCATTTAAATCCTAAAATTCGCGTAGCTTACCTTTAATTGAGTTACGTTCACGTAAATTTATTTATCATTTCCTATTTACATTGAATTAAGAGAGCAAAAAAGATTTCCAGTGCTTTGAATGTTACATCAGAATGTATTAAAACGTTATCAGTTTATCTACACTTTTATCAAAGGACAAATTCATTATTCTGAAAACAATCTGTCAATTACTCTTCAATTTTCTGATCATTTATCTTTAAAATTTCAACTTACTCTCACAAGATTCGGGTCAATTTCATGAGCACTTTGTAACGGAACCATACTTACGGTACCTACGCTTACATAATCGATTTCCATTGTATTGTCTACAGCTGAATCATTCGATATATTCCTCTGCAACAATTGAATGATTTCAGTTTAATTATTACTTTTTTATTTCCTCTGTCATCCATCATGTTAATTTTTACCACATTTGCATTGTTGTAGAGATCAAATATTCGAACAGTAGAGATGAATTAAAAAGTAAATCATAAAATGATTAAGATTCTAACGAGTTTACAACTTCTCTGATCAGCAGAGCTGATAAGGCATCAAAATGCACAAACGAAAAAAATTGATAATATTTCGGATTTCTGAATATCGAAAAATAACAAAAAGATAATAGTCATACATTTATTAGAATATTATTTAAATCGTTAGTGAACTCTTGACCTTTCAATTTTCAATCCGGATAATGATCAGTTGCTAAATGTGATGAATTTTCAATTTAGCAATGCTACTTTATGCAAAGAATTGCGCCATACAAACAATGTCCTCCAGAAAAAAAACATCTTCAATTTAGTTCTCTTCATTGGAGGGACATTTAAAATAATAGGAAAATGACTGGAAAAACGCATACATTATGAGCATAGTATGGAGTTCTTCCGATAAAGTCATTGCCAACTGTTTGACCGGACATGTAATATTCGTTGTAACCAGAAACCTGAAACTTCCTATGTACATTTCTAGACAGGATCATAGACTTAATGTAAGGATATTGAAAGGAAGTTATTTGTGGCAAAAAATTTTTATCGGTTACATCTAATAGTGTTTAATAAAAAGATTCTAAAGAAAAAAAAAAAAGACAAAAAAATATATTAGTACAGTGTACGATCTTTGACCTAACTCTCCAGAAAAGTTCATGCTAGAAGCTAATAGTTTAACATGACTTAAATTCTTGTTCCATACTTAATTTTAATTTTTCTGATGGAAAATTACTCATCACTAGATATCCCCTTTCTTATCCGTTCTAAAAAAAAATGATGATGTAGTATTTTCAATAATAGGTATAGCAAATTCTAAATCGCTTCCGCACCGCAGGAATTTCAGGTTGTTGCTGTACTAACGAAGGTACTGGAGCCTGTTGATGTTGTTGCTGTTGAGCGGTCTGCTGCCATGGTGGCCCAATCCAGCCCTATAAAAGCTTTGTTTAAATTAGTAGAAATGATAGATTGTAATAAATCAAAAAAAAAAGCTTCTATTAAGAGACATTTTTCATTTCACAGTCCTCTCTCAATCACATTTCCCATACAAAACATTTTTTCCTTTTTGTGCCCTTTCTTCTTCCCTTCCTTTCATTCTTTGCGCGGAAATTGAATATCACTAAAAGTGAAATTGTGGGTACCTGTCTGTAAAGCTGTTGTTGGCGTTCTTGCATACCACGCCGTTCCATCTGCAACTGCTGCCTTCGAACTGATGAATCATCCTGTGGTAAACGATCAGCACCAAGATACCAAAAAGAATGTTATACATATTCAGAAAAAAAACTATCCCAATCCCTACCCACATCAGAAAAAAAAAAGAACTACTCTAACTTAGCCTAGAACTATTCTTTTTTGCAAAGATCTGTTTCAAATCATTCAGGTAATCATAGCTATCGTTATCATCTTGATAACTGATAATACTATTATGTTCTGTTAAGAGACTGAAAAGTTCTGAAGAATGTTTCAGATTTTTGATTAAAGATGAATAATCCAATACCTGTGGTACTTCATAAACATTTCTCCTAATTTGATCTGCATTCTGTCTTGTACATCCATGCCTTTGCCATATTCGTTCTTCTTGTAATTGTGGTGCTATAACATTTGTTTTCTTTACTTCTCATACATATTAATCAATATGTATTTCGAATTATACAATTTAAAGAAGTCCTTTCACCACACAACAATAATGCGTCAAATATTCTCAGCCAAGACTTAGCCAAGATTGGCTAAAATAATCTTTGCCATAATTTCTACGATCACACTGGATGAAGTAAGGTCAAAATTTTATTATATTAGCAACAAGTTTAGTTCGCATAAAGCAAAACGTACGTATTCTGGGATCATACCAGGTTGTTTCACGACTATTATGATCTACAAAGTAAACTTCACCGTTCTGATCATAACGTTTTGCCCATCCATCCGGTAAAGGTCCTAAACCATCGTCCGGTTCCTTTAAGCAAAGCAATACTGTACATAAATTATAATAGAAGGCTTTCAACATTTGTATTAAAAGTTCTTTTAAGGATTTTCATTAATGTTTAATCGTATCGAGGTTCGCCAATGGACTGGTTTTTGTTATTTCTGGTAATACCGAATAAAAGTTACTTAATTACTTATTATTGGAGTAATTAAGTAACCGGTATCCTATTACCTAAGTAATGCATCCCAGAGAGTGGAAAATGACGTACAGTCTGCGACACAGGTGCCGTAGGCTGTAAAATAGGCTGTTGTTGCTGTTGGTGGTGTTGTTGTTGTTGTTGTTGTTGTTGTTGTTGTTGTCTTTCTATCATTGAACTTTCGTTGGCTACCAAAGCCATTGGGTCTAACGATTGACTTTTAGCGCGTGGTTCATTCCAGTAAGTAACTTCTGTTGCATTTCTAAAATCTAATGGATAAATGAGAAGACAATGAAAACTGCTCAATAAAAAGGGAAAAACATTCCTTATCCTGTCCGTTATCAGGAAAGTCACAAAATCAGGAAAATTTTTTGGAAAACTTTTCCACTTCATTACTTTACACTTATAAAAAACAATTTTTATAAAATGGATAATACTAATAATAATTGAAGTTTTCCGTTTCCCATTCTCTGTGCTCTTAATACAGTAGAATGACACCACATGACATGACATTATAAACTTGGCGCCATGAAATTTGTCTTTCATTCTTAGTTTCATTTTGATCTTGTTATGGAATGATCGAATTTCTAGTTCACTGAACTTCAACTTTGACTTTAGCGCAGATTTATTTGTTTGGGAAAATATCTATCGTTCATCTTACCCAATTGACTTATACTGTAGTAGTATTTGGTGGTGTTAACAGGTTTTCTGTATGAAAAACATCTTTCTTAGAATAAGTGGACAACTTTAGACTAATCTTACCGCAAACCTTCAACTCACTTCTCACTTCTGGATTTTTTCCCGGAAGAAACCGAAAATCGTCTGATATGTAATAATGTCCGGATTTCGGAAGACACCTTCTTCACTTCATACGATCGCATAATTCCTCTCGCCGTAATAAGCTGATACTAATCCTTGCTTACAGTAGTAGTAGTAATAGTATCTCAGTCATAACACTCACAATCCTGTATCAATCAATCCTTAATTGTTTCTATCAAATATTCTGGCCTTATTCATATCATCGTTATGATTATTATATTAGTCACTGATTTTATGCATAAATATGTAAAAAAAAACACCATTTTCAACTTTTTGAATTATTAATTTTTCGAAATGTGTAAAGGAAAGCTGATAAGTTGAAGTGATAATGTTGAAAATTCGATGAATATTAAAATTTACTATAGTTTGTAGTATATTTCCTCTTTTACCTTTATATATCAATATTTTTTCTGTCAAATAACTGTACAATATAATTTCTAGAATTCTGGAATTTATTATCACAAGCACACTGAAGTGGGAATTGATGATTGTTGAAAACAATCCATTACTGTTCATAAAACGATAAGCAGTATCATTTCTCAAACAGCATTATTGGATTTAAATAATTAATATTTTAATTACTGGAATGATTAATAAAAACCATTCAAATATTTGCATACAAGATTGTGAAAAATTTTGTAATCATAAAGTACCAAAACAAAACAATGATTGTTAGGTACCAAAAAGAATATTCAATATCGGGCGAATAATATCAACTAGCTAAAAATTAGTACCAACTTCTCGTTGGTCTACTACAGTATCGGTCTTCTCTTCTTGCTAAAAATTGAAAAGGGTGAGATTTTCACTTTTTATTTCTTATGAAAACTGAAATGACCATATAAAAGGACATACTCGACAAAATAGGGTTGTCCTTGTGGTGTGTAATTTTGTTCGAAATGTTTGCTAGGTTCACAATCCAGGTCACAGCTTTTTGCAGCGCGATGAGATGCAACTTGATATTGTTCACCAACATTCGATACCGCCATAACACTTAATGATTTAGAAGGCGCATGTGCTACACCAGATGTCAAGCGACTGCAATTTATAAGTAAATCTAACTCAAGTAATGATAAAAGAACATTAGTAAGAACATTAATTAGCGTTCACGTAGCATTATTTGTCAAATGAGTTTAAAATATGTCAAATATTTAGAATGAAAAAATTTTTAGCCAACATAATTGATCTAACAGTTGAATATGGAAAAAAGCAAGCAGAACTTTGAGATATTATATGATAAAGAGGAAAAGAAAATAATACCTGGAGTGATGCTCAATGTTATCTTCGTAATTGATTAAAGCAGGTGCAGAACTTTGCCTAGGATGATAAGGTCCTTGATAAGATGTATTGAGTTGTGTGGATGAGACCGAACTTGGACTTAAAGTTTGCCGGCCACTAGAGCCAAGTCCATCATCACTTGACCCTTCGGCAGAAGAAACATGTGGTTTCAATGATGACACCGGTCGCTGATTAAATGATGCTGGCACACTCGGCTGAAATAATAATGACAATAATAATCATTATTATTATGATTATTATTATCATACGAAATTCTGCCATCTCATCTATGTAATAGTCATAGTATTTGCGCGAATATTTTTCTTGATTCCTTCAAAATTTTTAAGAGTGACCATTATATAATGTCAATTAATAATTCGTGCTAAAATTGAAGTTAAATTTAAACAAACATTTTATAATGGTTAAAGTATGGTTAATCCTATACAATAACTATATTAAATGAAAGAAGACCTTTTTTCGTTCAAAATGTTTCCCGTGTGTTCGCATACCCTCCGTAAAAAGCTCCTCTAATGATTTTTGTGGATCATCAACATGTGTGTTAATCTGTACATGAGGAGTACTCGTCATTGTTGTTGTTTGAAGTTTCGCTTTCGATGCCATCGCCATTTCCACTCGTTTTTTCGCCGACGCCATTTCGGCGACTTTCGAAAAAAAACAAAGGAAAAAAAACAAAATCTAACTTTGAATAAATTCATTCGATCTTCATAATCATGAAGGAAGCATAATTCTAACCCGTTAACATATCTATTTCAAAATTTATTATTTAACCTATCTTGACCTTATCATTCAGTCTATTTCTAAATTTATCATTTAATCTCTCTAGATTACTTTCCAATATATCACTCAGTTAATCTGGATTACTTTCCACTATATTATTCATTCAGCCTGTCTAGATTGCAATCCATTATACTGATATGGAGTAATGCACTGAGAGATACCAAATAATATAAGATTCATTGGAAGTTGAATTAAAATGATGTTAAATACTAATTTCAATACTGTATATAGTAGATAACGATGAAATCACTACTGTTTAGATAAAATATTAACATTACATCACTTAGAATATAAAAGAATGCTTAAAGTTTTATTACTGTAATTAGATGATACGATGACCATATCATGTCTCTCTTATCATTTCATCATAATATTTTTCAAAAACAAAATTCGATTATGGTAAAATATCTAAAAATGCAAGAAACTGTTGAAATGAAAACAGATTGGATTATGGTTGTGGTAAAACAGGTGACAGATGATGAAAATAAGGGACCGTAATCCATAGAGACTATGAAATCCAACTAAAAGGGATGGAAAGAAATCCACAAATGGGCATATGCCATAACCCTAAGCAATAGCAACACAAGCATTAATTTTATTGAAAGCATTTGGATTTACTACGGTAGCGATGGCGCAATTTGTCAATTTTAGCACTCTTTCTATTCAGAAAAAAAAAAAAAACAACCTAGCTAGTTAATTTCCTGAAAATGGTAGCAAATCCATATGCACATAATCTTAAGCTTCTATTTCATTTCTTAGAAAGGTAGCAATTGTTATTTGCACAAAATAGATAAATAGATCTTATATGAATTGTCTTTCGCTGAATCCAATAATTATCATTATAAATTTTTCTATTTTTTAACAGACCGACAGATAGTGGCGACATTCCGGAGCCTATTTTCTATCCTTTTCAATATCACATTATTCAATTTTCTATCCATCTAATTGCTACTTCGTTTGCTTCCGGCACACACACACACACACACACATACACACATACACATACACACACACACTTATAGATATAGATATATATATATATATTATTTTACATATATTGAAAATTCCCGGAGATTCCTGAATTCAATCGAGTTAAATATTTAAAAGTTACACTTGAATTTTAGGCTATAATATCATGTACTACCTCATTCTTAACAATTCATTGTCAAAAATATAAGTCTTAACCAAATATTAACAAATATTTGTTTTTGTTTATAACAAAAAAAAAAAACAATTCGCTAGAGATAAAATTAGCATTTGCAAATGTGACATTAATGAAGAGCAAATTTTTAAGCTCAATAAGAAAGTGTCACAATGTTACAAATTATTTCATAATTAAGCTTAAATTTCAAGCGTGTTTCAGTGTGACATTTTTATTTTGTACTGTTTGAAAAATTAAACTTCTTTTAAACATATACTGTGATTGAAAACTTTCTTATTTAGTATTACTCCAATTCAAAGAATTTTAAATAAAGATTAATGATTGGGACAGTATTTATCTTTCAAATATTTTCAATTAACTTTAATTCGATCTAATTTCATAGCAAGCAACATTTATTGTAAGTAATAATAGGTTGATCATATAATACTATTTGAAAATTGTGTTATCATATCATGATAATCGATAAAGAAAGTACTACTTGATTATTTTATAGGCTAATTCTTATGGGACAATTATTCTTATTTTATATCTGATCTGATTATTCGTGATCTATCGTGGTATACTCAGTAGTTCAAATGACTAAATTAATCTCCTCTTAATTAATCTAATCAAATGCTTACAATCATTTGTTATATCCAATTAATAATGAATAACATTAGCGCTTCTTATCTTTTACCTAAATGTTATCATTCCTTATTAAAATGACACTTTTCATCAAATTCGTTCTAACGGGAATCTCATAACTTCCGGGATTGTTTTACAAATAACTTCTTTTATCTTTTACACATAACAAATATAATGCAATAATGCCATTTGTATTGATATAAATCGATGATATAAACGTAGACAAATGAAAAAAAAAAAAAAAAAAAAAGGACCAATGATATTTACAACGTTCAATTTTCGATAACATATAGACAAACGAAGGAATAGAATTGATGCATTCCTCAACAAATGATATGGTATGGTATTTTTGTGTTGCACCATTACAATCTCTCATCAAATAATTCATTGTTTAAGAAAGAAAAAAAAATTAATTTTTAAAATGTAATAAATTAAAAGAAGGAAGCTTAAATATTGCTTACATTCATTCTCTCATATTATTTCGTTCATTTTCAACACTTTTTTTTTTTTTTTAACAAATGCAAAAATTCGAATAAATAATATAGCATGAAAGAGATAGTAGTCGAGAATTTACTCATTAAATCATTAATTATGAAAAAGATATAATAAATCTTCGAATGATTTATTTCTACACTTTTTCAATATTTTAGTTAGCTTGTCTAATATCACCAACTGTTTTTCACTAATAATAGCATTATTAGTTATTGTAAAAATTTTTTATGAAGATTATGATAAGTTAAAGATTAAATTTGTTGAGACAGGACGAGAAAAAAAAAAAAAAGAAAAAAGGACGGGAAAAC